TCACTGACCCCCCCCCTCTCGTGACCCCGCTTCTGTCCACACCCTTAGGTGCCCCCGAGCCCCCTCATCAGCACCAATGGTCCCCCCAGCGACGAGAAGCTGTTCCGCAGCCAGAGCGCGGAAGCCCCTGGCCCCGCCGAGCGAGAGCGGCTCAAGAAGATGCTGTCCGAGGGCTCCGTGGGCGAGGTGCAGTGGGAGGCCGAGTTCTTCGCGCTGCAGGACAGCAACAACAAGTTGGCGAGCGCCCTGAGAGAGGCCAACGCGGCCGCCGCCCAGTGGAGGCAGCAGCTCGAGGCACAGCGCGCAGAGGCCGAGCGGCTGCGGCAGCGGGTGAGGGCACCCTTCCCTCTGAGACCCTGGGTCCCCGGCAACTGTGGAGCCCCTGCCTGAGCGTCTCCTGTCTGTCCTGGGTTCACCAACTGGCTGTGTGATCTCTCAAGGTTACTTCCCGGAGCCTTAGTTTCACGCTCTGTAAAATGGGTCTGATTTAGCGCCGACCTCAAAGGGGTGTCAGACCCTAAAGTCTTCCCTGCCAGGGGTGGGGTGGTAACTCCAAGCAGAGGGGGCGGGACTGAGCAGAAGGCAGATTCCCCAGAGAGGTGCTGATCTTTCTGTCCACCCAGGTGGCTGAACTGGAGGCCCAGGCAGCAACAGAGCCGACCCCAGTCAGTGAGAAAGAGGGGCCAGTCCAGGCGCTGGAACAGCTGGAGTCCTTAGTGCAGACCAAGGACCAGGTGAGCACAGAGCATGTGAGTATGTGTGTCCTCAGGCCTCAGCTTCCCTGACCTCCCATGGGAGAGCCAGGACCTCCAGAACACCCTGGAACTCTTCTCCACTAGGAGATCCAGACACTCAAGAGCCAGGCCGGTGTGCCCCGCGAGGCCCCTGATGCAGTGGATCGGGAGGAGACGCAACAGAAGGTGCAGGTGTGTGTGGTTGCCAGGAGATGGGGTGACTGCGCTTGGGCAGCCAGCTTCTGGTGTGACACAGATTTGGTCTCTTCCCTTCCTGGCTGGTCCCCTGTGGCCTGTTACTCCATCTGTAAGTGGGGTCAGGAAGACATCTACCTGAGGTGAAGGACTGGGAAGAGCAGATGCATGGAGGTCTGAGGTGGCTTGTCAACGGTTGTTCTTGGTACAACGTTTTAGATCCATTTACTCAACTGGCAACTTTTTAATCCCTGCTGCGCTTTCTTGACCCCATCAAGTCCTCACACCCCCCCCAGCCTGCATTTGAACACAGGTCTGACTGGCCTGGCTTTTGCTAAAAACTTTATCCAAGAAACAGTCATGGGGCATGTCCTCAAAGGCCCTGGGATGGGGAGGGTATCAGTGTGTCTAAGGAACCACAAAGCCAGCGAGGCTGAGTTGGAATGAGAAAGGAGGAGGGGGATGTGTAGATTTCATCCCCAGCCTGATGGGTCACAGGCGGCTTTCAGAAGAGGGCCATGATCAGTTCTGTGGTGTTCAAGTTGGCTGGGGGAGCAGGGAGTGTCTTCAGCACAGGTGGCAGGGAGATCAAGAGACGGAGGGGGACTTGGCCCATGGGGAACTGTGGAGATGGCACTCAGAAACATGCCCCCGTCAGGGCTGGTAACCCTGCCCACCCTCTCCCTGCAGGACCTGGAAACCCGCAACGTGGAGTTGGAGCACCAGCTGCGGGTGACAGAGCGCAGCCTGGAGGAGGCTCGGGCTGAGCGGGAACGGGCAAGAGCTGAGGTGGGCCGGGCCGCACAGCTGCTGGACGTCAGACTGTTCGAGCTGAGCGAGCTGCGGGAGGGCCTGGCCCGCCTAGCCGAGGGTGCTCCCTGAGCCTGGGCTGGCCACCAGTCCTTGTAGGAGCCGGAGCCTATGGGAGCAGGTTCTACACAAATGCTTCCTGTTTGGGGCATGGGCTGGCCGCAGGCGGCCCAGCAGGCCACTTGCCCTGGCAGGGACCAGGGCTGACAGCCAATAGAGGGCTTGGCTGCGTACAGCTTAGGGGCTATTGGGGGCTTTTCATTGTGTAAGATTTCTAGACTCTCCACCAGGGCACATGCTGGGGCCCAGATTACATTTCTAAGCATGACTGTGTGTGTGTGGTGGGTGGACACTAAATGTTGTCATTGAACCTTCTCCTGTCTCCTCTCCAATACATCCTCGCTGTCCTCTGCACATGTAGGGCTGGAAAGTCACTCGAGGTGAGCAGGATGAGGCTCGGAGCCCAAGTGTGTGTGAGGGGGAGGGGGGGATCAGGGAGGGGCTAGGCCACACAGCTGCTGGGTCCTGCTGCCCCCATCCCCTGGGGCTCAGCCCACGTTGTCTAGACCAGTTTGGACTTCGGTGGCCCTGGTTCAGCCTCCCTTCACTCTGGCTGCAAACCCTAGATTCGATGAGGTGGGCAGGCATTAAAGACCACAGCCATGTTCTCCAGAGAAGAGGATGATCTCACCAACCTCATGGCCACATTGGAAGAGGTGCAGTTGCTATGTCCACTAACAGACGAGGAAACTGACCCTGAGGGACTCACCAACCCAAGGTCACCCACCTGGAACAGCCAGCACTGCAGTTCAGTTTTGGGCCTGGCCCAACAGGAATGAAGAATTGGGGGTGGAGGGGGGGGCTTGGAGTGACATAAGGTCCCAGGGGGCTTAAAAAGCACAGGAAGCCATACCCTCCTCTCCTACTCCTGTGCCCCGAGGCAGACTGAGCAAATCAAAAGACCCGTTTATTATCTCCCGCAAATGACACACCTTCACTTCTGGGCCCACAGCACCCGCTTCAGTGACCCTGGGCTGGAGTCACTGCTTATGGAGATGGGCCCAACCACACGGCCAGTGTTCTTCCCTTGATAGCTTGACTTTGGGCCAAGGCTTCGAGAAGGAGCCAGTTGGGGCCACAGAAGAGGAGCCATGTACTGAACAGTGTGGGCATCCATGGGCTCCACTGACGGGGACTGGGCAGCTTGGGAGGGGACAACTGCCTTCCAACTCTCCAACCCTCAGTTTGATGAAGGAGTCTTAGGCTGGGCAGGTAGGGGCCGAGTGGGCCTTGGGCCAGGTCCTGGGCCTGAGCGGGCCTCGGGTCGGGCTTTGGGTAGACGGCCCCTGTGGCCAGTCCCACCGGCCTTCTGCCGCTGCAACGCGTGCTCCACCTGCTCCTTGAAGCGCCGGTTCTTCTGCTTGATCTTGGCCAGCTCAGCCTTGCGTTTGGCCTCCAGGTCAGGGTCCTGGCTCGGGGAGGACAGGGCGGTGGCTGAGCTGGTTACTCCCTACCTCAGGAACCTGCCTCCCACCTGCTGGCTCACCCTCACCTTTCCCTCCAGGATCAGCTGCTTCCGCTTGTTAATTTCCTTCTTTTCATCAAAGTTGGCTGCCTCAAGTTTCTGGGGTTGGGGGGGAAGGGGAGAGGCTGTCATGGGGGGGTAGTTCCCATCTCGAAGGGAGCACCCTGGGTCCCGAGGATCAGCTCGTGGACACTCACAATCTCACATTCCCTCCGCACCACGTTGACCTGGGTGAGAATCTGCAGCACCTCAGCCTCCTCCACCAGGAACTCCTCCAGCTTCTTCTCTGTGGGGACAGGGTGGGGGAGGGGGCAGACATGACAGGAAGAGGAATTTCAGCCAATAGTGAGTTCCCAGGGTGTGTGTGTGGGGGGGGGCGGGGGCATGCAAGGTGTCTGGGGGTCTTAACAGATAAAAGTCAGGTGGGCAAGATCTGGGATTTCAGACCTAAGTAAGATACAGACTACTTGTGTGTGTGTGTGTGTGTGTGTGTGTGTGTTTCTTCTGTATTTCTGGAAACCTAGATAGTGGTTACCACGCTAAGAACTGGACTGGGGGGGAAAAGTACTTTTTTGGGCAGTGTTCTCTCAAGTCGTTTCTGAATTTGAGGAGTTGCTGGTGATTAGACATGCCCTCGTGGTTCTTGGTCTTGGCTACACATTAAACTACCTGAAGGAGGTTTTAAACAGACTCAAGCCTCATCCCTAGGGCCTTGGACCTATTCACAGGGACCACCCACACAAGGTCTCAGAAACCAGTCCTTGCCCACCAGATGGCCATTATGGGGAGCTTCTCTTCCAATAATTGGGCAAAAGAAACTTCTTTGGGGGATGTATAGGAAGGAAAGTGGTTTAAGTTTGCTCGTGTGAGAAGGTAGGTGGGTATCCCACTCCTGCCCCCTTACTCACTGATTTGCTCCTCGATGGCATGAACCAGGTGGATGTCATACTGTGTCACCAGTGTAATGGCCTGTCCCTGCCGCCCTGTAAGGACATACCAGTTACCTGCTATGTGCCAGGGGCCAGGATGAGGGGTCAAGAGACAGGTCAGGACCCCTCTTGAGAGGAACAGAACTTGGTGGGTAGGTGGGGGCAGGTGAAGGAAGCCTGGGGTATCAGGGCTTGACCCCCAGCAAGACCCGTGTAGTGGGTGATCTGCCCAGGGGAGCTGAGCTGCAGGACACCAGGGAGAGGTGGCTCTCTTGCCAACTCGGCCCTAATTGGAGCAGGTGATGTGGCTGATTCCCCTTTGGCATGGCTGCCAGGGAGCCCAGGCTGTTATGGCAGCAGTAAGCTGTGACAGGCCTCAGCCCAGATTTCTGCATGCCAGTTTCTCCGTTCTGTTTCTGTGACAATGGCCAGTGCTGGACCAGCGCTGACAGCTGACCAGGCCCATGATCCTTGGAGCAGCCTCAAACAGACATCATGTTCTCGTTACCCATCACTTGACAAAGCAGTAAGGTCCAGAAAGCTGATGTGATCTGCCTGAGGCCACAGGGCAGGAGAGAAGGGGCAGGACCAGTACAGCCCCAGAAAGTATCTCTCCACTCCAGGCATGACAAAATCTCACAAATGCAGCACCCCTCCCTGTTAGAGCTGGGGATCAGAGAGATGGATGTCGCCTTGGCCACTGGCTAGGGTCACAGTGAGGGGTTAAACTTGGACACCAAATCCCATAGGCAACACCACATCCACCAGGGCTCATGCACCCACTCACTGCAAGGTGCCACTTGGCAGCCTGACAGTCTAAGAGGACTGAAGTGAGGCAACAGGGATTGATGAGGATTGGGGCAGTATATGCTATGTCCCCAGAGACAGATGTAGGTTCCATGAAAAAGCCAAAGTACCCCCACCTTTGCTTTTAAAAGGACAGTTCCCCAACAGCTTTCGCCTGGGGCTGTATCCCCCCACCTGCCCCACTAGCTCATGACTTTGGCTCCTCACGGTGTGGGCAAGCTGGAGGGATGGCTCCCCAAAGGCCATCCCCCCGTCTACTCACCTGCACGGGCTGTCCGGCCAACTCGGTGGATGTAGATCTTTGGGAGCCCGGGGGTATTGTGGTTAATGACCACCTGCACTGTGGGAATGTCCAGGCCCCTAGAGGCAGAGGCCGATCAGCACCACTGTCCACATGGCAAAACCGAGGCTGGGACTCACCCAAGGTTACTGAGCAGTGAAACGGGTCGCCCAATCCTTGCCCGAGGCCAGCCCCCCCCTCTGGCCCCTCTGTGGGGGTCACCGGGCCAGCACATAGGACGGAGTATTCTGCTCACCGGGAGGCCACATCTGTTGCGATCAGGATCCGATAGATGCTGGACTTAAACTTGGCCAGGGCAGCAAAGCGTTCTTTCTGAGCCGGATCAGGGAAGAATTGGGGGAATGGGGATGGGGGTCAGATACCATCTTAGTCAATGAGCACTTATTGTATGAGGCCTAGGACAGGGCTGAGGCCAGGATGGTCCTGCCCTCACAGGGCTCACAGTCCAGGGAGGGAGATGATGAAAAAAGCCAGAATGGGGCGAAGCGGGGTGGCAGGAAGAGTGTACCAGGCAGAGGGAAGAGCCTATGCAAAGGCCTGGAGGCTGGGAGGAGTCACAGGCAAGGAGGGCAGGTGGGGATCTCCTCACCTGTTTCATCATAGAATGCAGAGCCACAGTGGGGAAGTTGAACTTGCGTAGCATCATGCACAGGACCTGGCAGGTCCTGGTGGGAAGAATGCACTTTCAGCCCCTACAAAGCTGGGGTCCTGGGAAAGTGCTCTTTGCCCCCGCGCCCCCAACCCTGCCTAGGACCCCAGGCAGGTGCCCCTGCACAGACAGGCAGGGACAAGCTGAGGTGCAGGGTGTCTTGTCCACTGACATCCTCTCTGCTGACTCCTCTCCCAGCCTAAGCCAGCAAGAGTCAGCCCCACACCCAGCCTTTTCAGGTAGCCAGTAAGTTCTTCAGGTCCCATCGATGTGGTATGGACTGCCCGCCTACTGGCTCACGTCAGAACAGTCTACAGCCTCTTGACAGTCCCTGCACATGCTTCAGAAGAGTCAAAAGTCCCGGGTGTGGGTGCTGCTGCCCTGGGTCTCAGGGACCTTAGACCATAGTGAATAGGCTGCTCCAAGAATGGGGACAGCCTGGCTTTCATGTTAAGGGCAGATCTGAGGAACCCCCATTCCTGGCTCCACCTTCAGAAGATGTGATCCTGGTGAGTGGCTTGTTCTGAGCTGCTTTGAACATATCTCCCAAAACCTCTGATCTGAGCAGAGGCCCCGGAGTGAGAAACTGGCTGTGTGCCTCCCACCTGGGACCTCGGGCCACCTCTTGGGCCTCCATGGAAGTCTGTGGGAAGCGGGCCCACTAAGCTCACTTGCATGTGTTGGTGAAGATGATGATGGACCAGTCTTCATGCTCATCATGGAATTTCTGGATCAGATGGACCAAGTAGGCGTCCTTGACCTTCTCAGGCACCAGCAGGTAGCGCTGGTCTAGCTGTTCTACCGTGCGCACCCTGGGAAGGGGTAGGCCTCAGTTTCCCCTTCTGTTGAATTTGGCCAATGCCCTGCCCACCTATGGGCAATAATCTCCATTGGGTGTATTGGGTGTAACCCCACCACCACCTCTGCCTGCCCCCCGACACCCCGGGAATGTGGCTGTGGACTCACTGGGCTTGAGCCTCCCAGAAGAAGGGCTGGTTGGTGGCCAGGCCCTGCAGCTCCTTTAGTGTGTCAGTCAGGGTGGCACTGAAGAGCAGCGTCTGCCTGCGGGCCGGCACCGCTGCCAGGATGGCTTCCAGGTCTACGGTAAAGTCAGTGCAGCCCTGCTCCAACAGCCGGTCTGCCTCGTCCATCACCTGCAACGCCAACAGCAGCAGGTAGTGGTAGTGGGTTTGGGGTGAGTGTGCTGTCCAAGGCTGGCCTGCCTCCCCCATGTTCCTCCTTCCCAGCTCTGACCATGAGCCTGCGAGCACACTCCCTTGAGGTCCTGCCCCATCACCTGTCTCAGCTCCAATGTCACTTCTTTAGACAGGTCCTGCTCCCAACCACCCCCACAGGTGCAAACTCCCTCTTGTGGGTCTGAGCTATCCTTGTCACGTTCCTAGCATTCTGCTGGATGGCCTGTGGGACCCGTTTTCCAAATGGATGAATCAGTGCCCAGGCCAACTCACCAAGAAGCGGATTTTCTTGATGCTGAACGTGTTGGAGCTGCGGAGGTGGTCAGCCAGGCGCCCTGGCGTGGCGATGACCACATGTGGTTTCCGGGAGAGCTCCAGGGCCTGGGCCACCATGTCTGCAGGTGGAGGGCAAGAGGTGGGGCTGGGCAGGTGGTCCAAGACTGTAGGGGTCCCACACCCAAAGCCTCCCTGGGGCCCCCGTACCCATGCCACCAACGATGATGCAGTCTTTCAGGCCCAGAGGCTTCCCCAGGACCCGGAACTGCTCTGCGATCTGGTAGGCCAGCTCCCTGCGGGTGTGAAGGAGCCGGACTGGGTAACACAGAGGTTTTGTACCTGTCTCCCATTCCCATCCCCACCCCCAGGGCTTCCTGACCTGCTCTCCTCTCTTCACACACCCTCCATGGCTTCCAGTCTCCTTTGGACAAAAACTCTGACAATTAGCGTTGGAGGCCTGTGTGGACCCTTCCCCCTTACCAGACTGGACCCCAGAACAGCCCAGGGCCCCTCTCTTACTGGCCCCTCCTCCCCCCATGTTCTCAGCAATGGCCTTGACACCAGTCACCAAAGCCTGAAACCCTCCTGCCCTGGGGGTAGCCAGTGTCCAAGTGCCCTCCTCTCTGCCCCTTGGCCCTGGCTCCAACCAGGCCTTTCCTCAGCCCACGCCCCCAATTCCTGGCCTCTTGTCTCGCCCTCTCCCTCAGATCCAATTATAACCTGGCATTCAAGGCCCTTCTCAAGCTGGCTCTAATATGCCCAGCCCCCCATGCCCTTCCTGTTCCCCGCCCCTCACACCTCTGCATGCATGTACTCGCAGTTCCCTCTGCCTAGATTACTTTTCCCCAAACTTGTCCCTTTGAGAGACCCTTCTCACCTCCTAAGGCACCCTGACTTAAGCCTTCCTTGACACCACCCGTTCCCAGGCCACACTCTCATAGCATGCAGTGCCTACCCCTCCTGTCATTACAAAACTTACCATGTAAACCACCACATCTTTATGACCAAGAACAAGAGAGGCGCCTATTCTTAAGCTACAAGGCTACTGACAGTTCCTGTCTGTCCAGTGCTTGCCCTGAGTCAAGCATTTTCTACACACTATCTTGTTTAATTCTGCAGCACTCTGAAGAGGGGGACATGATTTCTGTCCCCACTTTGCACACAGGGTGAGTACGGCAAAGAGAAGGAAAGCTGCTTGTCCAAGAGAACACAACTGGTTAACTCACCCAGGAGGCCTACGGGGGGGCTCACCTGGTGGGCGTCAGGACAAGGCAGAAGATGCCATAGGGATCCTCAGAGAGCTTCTGCAAGATGGGCAAGACAAATGCTGCCGTCTTGCCACTGCCTGTCTTAGCACAGCCCAGGCAGTCCCGACCTAGGCAGAGGGCAAAGCAACATCAACAGTTTAGGTGTGGACAGGTGTTCCCTTGAGCAGTTACCGATACCGGCCCATGCCCTTTCCATTCCGGGCATACTGACAAGTTCTAGGAAGGAGAGACCATTATCATTCCCATTTAACAGAAGGGGGAACTGAGGCTCAGATTTGCCCAGAAACACAGCTGGTGAGTAGCAAGCTGGACTGGAACCCATATCCATGACCCAAGATGCTACTAACTGGTACCTCATTTTGACAACCCTCCCCACCACCACCACCACCATCATCTGAGCCCGGGGAACTTGGAATGGCCTCCTCCAATCTGCATCTTATGCTCCCTATTGATTCTTTCACCTTTGTTTATTTAACCCGTCGACTTGCCACATCCTAGGCTTCCTGTGGGCATCTCTGCAATGGCAAACTGGTTTGGGGCTAGAAGACTGGGGAGAAGTGCAGTCACGGAATCAGAGTACTGGATCTACCAGTAAACTTGACAGCCTCAGTTTCCATTTATAAAATGAAGACAGTAGTGCAAGTTCTATTCAATTTTCCCAGTACTATCGGTTAGTCATTCACCAAAACCTCCCTGAGTTCTGAGACTATAGACGTTTCAGGGTTACATCACTTGTGCGCGGACACACAGTGCGTCGTGCAGCCTAAACGTTAACAACACTGCCATGTCTGCCTCCGGAACCAGGCTCCCCGAGACGCCCGAGGCTGCCCCTCGCCTCTCCGGACCAGCATGGATAAGGGAACGGAGGAGGCACAGGAGCGGAGATGCCTCGTGGGGAAGAGGCCCGGCCACACTCACCTTCCAGGATGGCGGGGATGCAGCCGAGCTGCACGGGTGTGGGCTGCTTCAAACCCAGCTGCCGACATTGTTCCACGAGCCACGAGGACAGACCGAGCTCAGCGAACCCGGCCATCCTCGCTGCCTGCCGCTGAGCGCCTGTGAGCCGCGCTTCCGGCGCGTGCCAATGACGTATGAAAATTTCCCATTGATTGGTTCCGACTCCTGCGTGATTCCACCGACTTAAATTCTCTCTGCCATTCCCAGTCTCGACCATAGCCTTACCATATTTTCCCGAATCCCATTGGTTCGCAGGATTAAATCAAACTACAATTCCCGAAATGCCCTGAAAGACGCACTTGCGTCACCCGTCCTTTTACTTTGGTTTAGGAATCTCTCATTGGCTCATCTTCAGGCCGGAACGAGTAAACTACATTTCCCGGCGTGCTCCGCGGTGACTCCCTGCTTCCTGTAGACGTGTCCCTCCGGAAGAGGAGTGGGTGACACCAGAGCGACATGGCGCCCCCGGCTCCGGGTTCGGCTTCCGGCGGCTCTGGAGAAGTGGACGAGCTGTTCGACGTGAAGAACGCCTTCTACATCGGCAGCTACCAGCAGTGCATCAACGAGGCGCAGCGGGTGAAGGTGCGGCCGCTTCGGGGCCGGGGACTGAGGTGGCGGCGCTTCCTGCTGCCGCGGGTCGCGCTCTGTTTTTAAAAACTCTTCTGGCGGCGTTTACCCCCACGCACCTCCTCAGAGGCGGTGAGGAGTAATCCTCCCATGACAGGATCCGAAGCAATAGCAGTTTTTACTCTCAGAGCGCCCGCTCTGCGTCCTGGAGGGCGTTTGAGTTGGGGGTTTATGCTCTATAATAATAATGGCAGTAGTTCTCGTTTGTTGGGCGCCCACACTGGCCTCCGTACCCTCAATCCCCGGGAAGTAGGGGCTGTTTATCTCACTTTACAGGTGAGAATACCCGCTCTCAGAGAGGAATGACGTCCCCAGCGTCACCCTGCCCCACGAGCCCGGCTGTTTCTCCCCAGACTCGCTCATTCATTCATTCCTCAGTGAGCATCTCGGGGGTCAGGCAGAGTGTTCGTGCTGAACTCAAAAGAGTGACAAAATAGACAAAACTGTCAGCTCTCTTTTGGGAAAGTAAACAAGTAAGTAAATGAGTAAACAAGTCAGGAGGTGGTGCGATGGAGAAGGAGGGAATGAGCTTGGCAGTTTGAGCTAGAAAATGAATCTTCACGGCAGGACCTTTAAGAGAGGGACATGGACCTTCCGTCACTTTGGGAGAACCATGGGAGAATTTTTGTAAGAGTCGGGAATATGGCAGGGTCTCTGCCTGTGTCCACGGCCTCGTGTTCCAAAGAGAGGAAACAAAGAAGCGAGTGAACAGCACAACGTGAGCCCTACGTGTGGGCAAGGGGAGATAAAAGTACTCCGTCCGAAACTGGGGAAGGGTGGCTGCTGAGTGTGGGAGTGGGCCAAGTCAGGCCTGCCTTTCCCATTGTCCTTTGAACCTGAGACTGAACTCTGAGAAGCTTCTAACCCCGTAAGTTACTGCAAAGGTGGTGTGGCAGGTGTGAGCTCGGGGTCGTCAAGGCAGACGCAGCCCGCGTGGCAGAGGTAGGGGGGAGGTGTCGAGGGGGAGGATGGAGAATGGTGTGGGCAGGGTGGGAGGCAGCAGGGTTTTGGATTTTATTCCAGACTGATTAGGATGCCATCAGAGCACCAAAGAAGGGAGTGGCAGCCATCTTCGCAGAGGCAGCCGGATGACTGGGAGGAATTTGGACTCTGAAGTAGAGAAGGCTTGCTTTCCATGCCTCTCATCTTCGGCCGTGAACCTGATGCCTCTGAGCATCTGTGCAATGGGGGCTTCGGGAAGCTGTTAGGGTTTGTTGAGATAACATTTGCACCATTGTATTAATTTTCTGTGGCTGCCTCGGCAACGTACAACAGAGAGCATAAAACAGCACTACTTTATTCATCTCTCGCTGTTCCTTGGGTCAGAGGTCCAGTGTGGCGCTCACCATGCTACATTCAAGGTGTCGTCCAGGCTTTGTCTTTTCTGGAGGTTCTAGGGAACAATCTGCTCTGAAACGCAGTCAGGTTGTGGGCTCTCCACCAGGGGGTCACTCTTAGCTCCTAGGGCAGCGGTTCTCAGCCTTCCTAATGCAGCAACCCTTTAATACAGTTCCTCATGTTGTGGTGACCCCCAACCATAATATTTTTTTCGTTCCTACTTCATAACTGTAATTTTGCTGCTGTGATGAATTGTCATGTAAATATCTGATAGGCAGGATGTATTTTCATTGTTACAAATTGAACATAATTAAAGCATAGTGATTAATCACAAAAACAATATGTAATTATATATGTGTTTTCTGATGCTCTTAGGCGACCCTTGTGAAAGGGTCGTTGGACCCCCAAAGGGGTCGCGACCCACAGGCTGAGAACTGCTGTCCTAGAGGCTTTTCTCCAATCTGCCTGCGTCTGCTCCACCCTGTCCCCAGTTCCCATCTTGGAACCACCGTGGGGAAGGTCTCTGAATTTCCCCTTCTGCTGCGTTCCTTCTGCCCAGTCTCTGCTTTTAGGGCTTCTGTGATTAGACTGGGCCCTCCCGGGTAACCAGCGTACTCTTTCTATTTTAATCATATCTGCGAAGTCCCTCTGGGCAACCTCATTTGCCCACCATCAGAACTGTACGTGCCTCCGTGCTAGGGTGGTCTAGACTGAGAGAAGATTGAGATGGACCTGGGCTCAGATTCCAGTTCTTCCATGTTGTCTCTGCAGCTGGGGCAGAGCTTCAGTTTCCCCTCCTGACACCTCTCAGTAGGGCCACTGTGAAATCCAGCATTGCTCTCACGTTCACCTTTTGGCTTCTGCCACGTGTCTGTGCTGCTCACATCATAGCAGTGTGTTATGTGAGTCTTCTCACATCATAATATGCAAACTTGACATCACCGCTGAAGGAACCAGTGTGATCTGCTATACGTAGAGAGTGACTGAAAACAAAGGAAATCGTACCAGATGGAAGCACTGTCCCTGCTGAGCCATCTGATGTCAATGAATTCTGGCCCATTGGAGCACCTAAGCCTCTTAGGCAGCCTGTGTTGCATTGAATGCTACCCCAGAAAGATATGTCCAACCCAGAACCTATTAATGTGACTTATTTGGAAAAAGGGTTTTTTCGGGTGTGATTCCATGAAGGATCTCTAGATGAGATCGGCTGGGATTTAGGAAGGCCCTAAATAGTGTAATTGGTGCCCTTCTAAGAGGAAGGCAGAAAGGTTTGAAGCAGACAGAGAAGATGGAGGCAGCGGTTGGGGTGATACAGCCGTAAACCAAGGAATGCCTGGAACCACCAGAAGCTGGACGAGGCAAGGAATAATTCTCCCCTAGGGCCTTCGGCGGGAGTGTGGCCCTGCTGACACCTTGATCTTGGACTTCGGGCCTCCAGAACTGAGAGAATACGTATCTGTTGTTTCAAGCCCCCAGATTGTGGTAGTTTGGTACAGTGTCCCAGCACCCTCAGATGGGCAGGACCTGAGGTGGTTCCAGGTGGAGCACAGGTATGTCCTAGCACTATGTCACCATCATGTCCTTGTTTGTTGGACATTTTTTAAGCGCCCACAAGATGGCAGGCACACCAAGGTATTGAGGACAAAACAGAAGAAAGCCTGAGGAGCTGACATCTAGTGTGGTCAGGTGACTCTCGTGGCCAATAGGGGAGGGGATGCAAATCCCCCACCCCCCTACACTCCATCGCTGACCTCCCCAGATAGTACCTCTTGCTCTCAGGCTTCACTGCACCTGTCCACTACTGGGGGCAGGTAGGACCACCTGGTGTCAGACAGCATTGACAGGCTTGGGCCTTCTGGCTCTGCTGGTTTCTGAGTTCCCAGGGAATTCGCATGAGCTGTCAGAACTGGGGACCCACAGTCCCACAGAGCGCTCAACTCACCTGGTGCCCCTGGTCGGTACGTCTGTCCTTTTTGTTGATTTTTAGAGAGATAAGGGAGAGGGAGAGAGAGAGAGAAACATCGATGAGAGAAACATCATCAGTCAGCTGCCTCTGGCACGCCCCCTCATTGGGATCTAGCCTGAAACTGGGGCGTGTGCCCTGACCTGGAATCGAACTGGTGACCTCTTGGTTCATGGGCCTATGCTCAACCACTGAGCCACCCCAGCCGGGCTGTCGTTGTTCTTACGCCTCTCAGAAGCTCTTCTCTTTCCGACTGATTGAGAAGGTCCCAGTGTCCCCGTGGGCTTTTGGTAAGACCTTGGCGGTCGTGCAGGGTTGGGATGGTGGTGCCCATTCTACAGATGGGCAGGTTAAGAGTTTCCTCTGGGACTCAAGAGTTCCCCTCAGGTTCCCCCACTGTGTCCTTTCTTCAAAGACACCAAGAGCCAGCATGTCTGTTGTTTTTTTAATTTAATTTTGTTTTGTTTTTGTTATTCTTACAAGAGGATTTATTTTTCCCCATTGCATTTCAGAGAGAGTGGAGGGAGAGGGAGAAGGGGAGAGAGACACACACCAACTGGTTGCCTGTCGAACATGCCCTGACGGGGTGGGGGTGGGGGGAGGTGGCATCTCAAAACCTAGGTGCGTGCCCTTGTCTGGGAATGGAATCCAAGACCCTTTGATGCATGGACCTTGCTCTAACTGTTTAGCCACACCAGCCGGAACAACATGTCTGTTTTTCTACTGAAAGTGGTGTGGGGCCCCCGTATGGGTTGTCCACACCAGTACCCACCCCTGAGGGTCATTTGAAAGTCACTTATTTAGCAGATGTGTTCCAAATCATGGCCAGACCCCCAGCCTGGTCTCCAAGGTCAGAGAAAGCCCCTGGGACCCTGCAGTGAAGTTGGCCTGAGTCAGGCTGGGACTAGGAGCCCGGCCTCTTGTTTGTGGTCTCCCTTGGCCGGAGAGGAGGACACTGTTGCTCACCAACCTCACCCCTCAGGCCGGGGAGAAGAAGGCATGGTGCCAGGATCTGGTTGTCACCTGGGGGAGGGCAGTCCTGGTGTCTCCCCCACTGTGGAACTCCAGACCCTGTGCTGTGGCAGCCATATAGGCCATCTCTGCGCTTGCTGGAGAGGCCACCCCAGGTGGCTGGGCCCTCTTCCCACCTCATTTTCTCTCCCAGCCCCTAGGGTAGCCTGTGCCGGTGCCCCCACACCCTCTGGCCTGTGGTGCTCTGTGTCCACCTGTCCTAGGCATCCCAGGGCCTCCAGGAAGTTGGCCAGCATCCTGGGGTCCAAAAGCTGTTCTCCTAAGAGAGGGTCCCTCGCTTGCCTCCAGCCTCCCGGGCCCGTCAGCAGTCCCACAGTGAACGCTGTATGAGGTCACCTCACTTCGGCTCCTGGGCTCTCGGTCGTGGTTAGGCTGAGGCGGTGCAGTGCGTGGGCCTCGTCACCAAGTGCCGGGAGGTCCCCGAGGTCTACCTGGCCCAGGCTAGACACAGCTGTCACTGTGCTGGGGCAGCAGAGCTGGGCTCTCCCAGAAAGGTCTTTTGCGTGAGGCAAACCTTTGTCTCTTCTGTGTGTCATGTTTAAATTACAGAGTGTTTAAAAACAAGACCAGGACTGGAGCAAGCTGCGTGGGAATATCTGTCACAGAAAGTAAAGTTCTGTCACACATCTCCGCCCGGGTCCCCTTGTTCTCCAGCACCACCTGCCCCCTTGGCTTGTGGCTAGAGCAGCTGTGGCACTTTGGTGCCCAGTTCCGTACCTGGATGAGTGGCTGACAATGGAGCCTCCTTCCGGGGTGATGTCAGGATGGGACAAGATCAGGGCCCACCGTGCTGTGTGCCCTCAGGGGCAGCTGCTCTCCTGCTGCCCAGGGCACAGGAAGTGGAAAGCCAGAGCCTGGACCCCACCTTGTCGGCTCATGGCCTCTGAGGGCCTGTCAGGCACATGGCCCTGTGGGTCCTGACCTGCCTCTGTTTCCACAGCCGTCGAGTCCGGAGAGAGAGGTGGAAAGGGATGTCTTCCTGTACAGAGCGTACCTTGCACAGGTGAGCACGGGCTGTGACTCTGACACCCCTGGGGTAGGAGAGTCAGGGACAGTGCTAAGTGGGGGTTGGGCACCCGGCAGGATGAGGAGTCCCTGGGGGTGGTGGGTGTAAGTTCTAGGCATGGAGCTTCATTAGGGTGATGCTGGAACCCTGAGAAGCTCTGTGTGCCAGGGCAGGGCGGGGGGAGCTGACCGCGTGCTTGTCTCGCTGTAGAGGAAGTACGGCGTGGTCCTGGATGAGATCAAGCCTTCCTCCGCCCCTGAGCTCCAGGCTGTTCGCATGTTTGCGGAGTACCTGGCCAGTGACAGCCAGAGGTGAGGACTGGGGGGCGGGCAGTCCTTCCTCCCTGCCCCCTCACCTTCCTGTGACGGTTTCCCCTACCTGGGCAGTGCTGGGCTGTCCTGGCACCCAGAAACTGAATGTGACTTCGCTGGAAATGGGGTCTTTGTAGATGTAAGTAGTTAGGATCTTGAGATCATCCTGGATATAGGATGGGCCCTAAGTCCAGTGACGGATGTTCTCATAAGAGACAGAGGAGAAGACAGGTGCAGAGATTGCGGTGAAGTGGACACCCAACAACAGCTGCGGCCGCCAGCACCAGGAGAGACCTGAAACTGGCTCTGTTAGAGCCTCCAGAAGGAGCCGGCCCTGCCCACACGTGATCTCAGACTTCTGGTCTCCAGACCTTTGAGAGAGTACATTCCTGTTTTGGTTCCCCAGTTCCTGGTGCTTTGTGCCGACAGCCTCAGGATGCAGAGACGAGCAGCCTCCTGAGGCCGTTTCTCCCCCTCTGCACTTCACTAGCCCGGGCGATGAGCCCCATGCTCACACGGAAGGGGCGGTCACCCTGGGGCCTTCCAGGAGCGATGGCTGCTGCAAGCATTCCAGAAAAGAACCCACAAGAACACAGGGCATGGGGCGAGTGCTCCGGGAAACAGTGGCACCTGTGCAGCCC